ATATATATATATATATATATATATAATCAAACACTGAACCAACAAATCACGTTTGCTTAATTTTTACTAGCAAGTTTGAAATAGTTGATAATGTATTTTCAGTATCTGTGATCGTTCAGGACTGTAATGCAAGGGGAGATGCAGACTTTAATGCATCATTATACAGAAAATGAGCAGTCAAATTTTATGTGCCAAGTCGACGTGGAATATTCAAAATGCACTGCTATTCTTATTGACAGTAAACCGAAAATTTCGATTATGCAATAATATTGTAATATGTTCATCATTGTGAAACTTCCTTGCTACATGCGATATATGACAAAATGATTAATCAGGCTCTAGATTTCATCTTCTTCTATATCTTGTGAATCTTTAACAGAGTAATATACTTTTTCACAATTCAGTGTTATATCGGTTCTTCTCAACTTCTTTGTATATTACTTTCAAACTAGTAGCAAAATCCCACCTTCTAGCGAATTTTACTTTATTTTCTTTGTTGCAGTCTACACTAAACTCTACATTAACTATACCAATTTTATTTACACTAAAACGACATGTTGATTGCTCCAGACTTTATGTAATCAGTGTTTGATCATTTAACTTGTGAAATTTGTACATGTATTTTAATCAGGAATGATGTTATACTTGAGCGGTGTTAATTGGCGCATAACCTTTGGATGTCTTATTTTCCGAATGTCATGTTCCCTCATTCTGTATTCACGTGAATACGTCAACTTGCATTACAGTCCTGAATGACTACAAATACTACTCTTGAAATTACATTGTTGAATACATACAACTTAAAGAAATTGATCTTTTGGCAAAGTGACTCGTTTATTTTGCCAGCCACTCTATATTGATGATAGGATATACAAATCTATATATCACTTTAATAGTAGATAGTCGAATGACAAAATCGATTACCAACTATAAATATGAATCCAGTTAACACAAACACGCACATATACACACAAGAACGCACTTATACATACAAACAGGTATAGACACATATTTTTCGTGCACATGCATATTAACTTGGTCGATACAATTCCTGATGTATATATCCAACTGGTTCTGATGCATTCCATCTTTACATACTTTGTCGAATATTTCGCATTATTGATCATATATATACACACACACACACACACACACACACATATATATATATATATATATGAAGGAGTTACTACTTCAAGTGTTTTTAGTGGATACTCGTATTTGAGTAGTTGCTGCGTTTCATGTTAAATAAATGTTCTCTTTTCTTTACCAAATTTACTCGTCTGTGCAATCCGATAAAACAATATAAATCCTGTTTAAAATAAAACAGAGCGACGAGTTACGGGTATCCACTTGAAATAACGTTTGAAGTAATAAAAATATATCGGATAAAAAAAAAAAAAAAAAAACATTAATTCATCAGAAATGATTTTATTTACGTTTTGGATGCGAAACTGAGTTGCTATGCTTTTCAAGAAATCTGAACGAACGAGTGTACTTTAATAGCAAACAGAACTATCGTTGATTGTGAAGATCTCGTTGACGAGCAATTAAAACACGACGGAAGAGACAGTAGCTTTCCTACAATGGAGGCAAGTTCAAATCTCGTCGGGGGATACATTTTATACACGGCAGAAGACGATATAAATATTGCTTAAAATAAAATAGAACTTCTACACAAATACGGGTATCCACTAAAAATAACATTTGAAGTAGTAAAAATATGTAGGATTAAAGTAAAATCCTTTAATTCTTTAGAAATTGTTATACATACATACATACACAAACACGCACACACGCACATATACATATATATATATATATATATATATATATATATATATATATATATATATATTTGTTGTACCTGATACCAATGGTTTTTTAACATCCCAACTGCAAAAGAAAATAATTAAAGCTTTCAAAATTCTAGGGTTTAAAATCGAAAGTCCTTCCAACTTAAATATAGTAAACTTCCTAGACGTTACATTTAATCTGAACAATAACACTTATAAACCCTTCCAAAATGCAAGAATAAACTCTCCTCTAGTAAAACCATTTTTAACCAAAATAAATCGGAATATAATAAAGCCTTATTAAAAAGTAATTTTAAACAAACACTAAATTACATAGACAAGTCAGTTAATAAAAAATCCACTAAATCCAAAAATAGGAAAAGGAAAATTCAACCCACCTTTTTGTAACCTCTCTAATATTAATA